AGGCTCATACACGTATTTGCTATGGTGTGAAGATGCCAAACGTGCGGATGGTTCCGCCTCTTGCGGTGAGTGAGCTGTTGGAGGGCAAACAGCTTCCTGGCTGACCAGAGTGTCCCCTCTGGATTAGGGGTCTGCGACTCACACAGGCACAGGTTGTCGCAGAGATGTGACACAGGCTTCTGGGAAAGGTGGGAGAAACTCGGTCATCGGCCCCTGGACACTCACTAATGATTTCCAGCTGCAGCAGGCCAGCGCTCTGCCTCCACCTTTGGGGCTGCTGAGTTAATAGTAGGTTAAAAAGTTAATAATTAAGTAAAAAGCAACTCGCTATCTAATCTGAAGCTGGTTGTGAGGTGACACTAGAAATAGGTTCTATTGTTCAGTCAAATAGAACCTAGGGCCTTTGAAGTGAAAGGGCCATTTGTGCCCATGATTCATGAATTCCTTCCTAATCTGGGTCAAAGAATAGATGACATCTCTACTTGCAAACAGTGCTCATCCTGGTGCCAGAGGGTAGAAAAATGGTCCACATCAAGGGCTGTGGTTAGTGTTCAAAGGAGACTGTCCCTTAGTCTTCAGGTATGGCTCTGGCTTTCTCCACTGTCCAACATTGTCAGGAGGGCCCAATGGACTTTCGACATTTTTAGGACAAAATGGAAAACTCTTAAATTAATTCATGACTACTATATATCTCACCTGAGATGTTTAACCTCATGTCAAAGGGCTGAAGCTGGCATCTCACATGTACACAGTGTGAATGCAGGGCAGGCAGTAAGGCAGGGAGGTGCAAATGCAAGCTCCATGTCAGAATATCCATGTTCACATTAGGCACACACACGTATTTGTTATGGTGTAAGTGACCGAACTTATCTGAGCCATGAACTTCTCATCTGTTAGATGAAGGTAGTAATAACACTTATTGGGATGTAATAAGGATAAAATAAAATAATACATGTAAACAGCACTCCACACAGTGCCTGGCATGTAGTGAGTGCTTATCAAATGGCAGCAACTGTCCTTATTTTAATTAAACCTTATTTATGAGATCTGACATTGTACTACTTCATTTGCTATTATAACCCATGGAAGATAATATTAGAGATTGGTGAGATATTACTGATGCTATGATTCTGTGTGCTCATTTTGTTGATGAGAAAACTGAGGCACAGAAAGGAGATACAATAATCCTAGATAAACACAGAACAGGCTCTAATACTCAGATCTTTAGAATCTATGTACAGTGCTGATATATGCAAAGAGAAAGACCTTAGGACTCAGAACATCCGGGTTTGCTGCCTCAAAGAGCGACTCATACCGTTTAACCATCTGCAAAATTGATGTAAAAATAGCCCAATTGAAAATGTTATAGCAAGTGAGATAGAGTATATAAAAGCGCTTTGTAAACTGCAGAATGTTACATAACTGCTACTTAATATTATGATTTCCTCCTCTTTGAAAAATGCAGGCAAACATAGATCCTAGGACACACACAATCCTCTCATGGTACTATTCAAGATCCTTTTGGATAATTTTTCATGGCCCAGGGACTAGGTCAGGTTCCATCAAGGGTGACCATTCACTCTCTGTTTTGTTTCAATTCTGATCACTCCCCAAAGCAGCACCTTGGACAGAAGCCGAGTCTCCAGGCACCTGCCACATTCTCAAGGCACTTTCTTACTGGTTGCCTTGCCTTGCCTTGTGAACCCCACAGGGAGGCACACACAGAAACTCCACTTCCCCTCCAGCCTTACATACTGCAAGTTCAGAAGACGGGTGCCCGCATGGAATCAGGGCTTTCTGTGACCTTCACTATTAGACCTGGGTACACTGATGGACTGCTTGCCACCTGCTCCAGGAAGTGAAAGTTAGCATTGTCATCTCTCTGCCTATACACGAACTGCATAGATTTCAGGGCTTACAAATATTCCAGTGGATAAATTTATCCTGACGCACAAAGCATACCTGCTTGTGATCTCTGTATGGCTTGGCAATGCCAGCCAGGGCCATAAAATCAGTTTCAAAACCACAACCAAGACATTTGAAAATATTAGTGTTAATTTGGAGTGAGGGTAGGGAAGGTGAAGAAGGACACAGGGGTAACACAGGAAATTATTGTAAATTGGGTTTTAAGGGGGAAAAGCCACTAATTTGCCATTTTATCAATTCACAAAGAGTGTCCCTAAAGGTCACAGGAAACAGGAGAGGATAAACACAATTTTAGAACTTAAAAGTGCCTTCAGGGTGAGCTTATTATATAAGTGATTCTACTAAGAGGCTTTAATTTGACTTTATTATAAATTGTATTTGAAGATCAATTTCTTTCACAAATTAGTGTGGAACTGAGGGGAGTTTGTTGAAAACGATAGAGCCACTATAAATGTATAGACCCATCTTATGCCAACACGTTTCATTTGCTCTTGAAACATAATTTCAAAATTATAAATCATGGGTTGCTTAATATGAATGACTTGGTAAGGTACCAGGACCCTAACTAGATGCCACTAAAACAGCAATCTGACTCATGATTCTGTTTATATATTGCTCAACTAGTTTTTAAAAATAAGAACATGTTTTAAGCACCACTAAACACCTGACTCAAATTCAGCCCTAATACATGGTATTTTCACCCATTGCTAGGATCATTTTAAAGTGTGCTCTTGTCAAACCTTAAAGGAAAAGAGACCTCAGGAATACAAAAAGCTTGCTGTTTGCTAAGGTAGAGGTTGTGGTGTGGATGGGGGAGGGTGTAGGGGAAGGTCACAGACATCGCAAAATACAAGCCAATACACATGTAACTGCTTACCTTTTGGGCTCTGGGTTTGCCTGAGTTTTGAAATCTTTTCTTCGTTTACATTCCTTTTTTGTGTCTTTTTTAGCCTCTGGTTCAGATGGGGAGGGAGTTTTGCTCCCTTCAGGGTCTGTGTGTGGTGGCAGCCCGCTAAGGTACACATGCATTTGTTGACTTTGGAGAGGGGGTGTTGGCACGGGGCATGCACAGAGAGTGGCCAGCACAGGAGAATCAAGAGCACACACACATGCACAAACAAAAGAAATAAAAAGAAGGATGCATCAAACGGCAAGAGCAAATGCATTCAAACCAAAATAATAAGGAAAAAAGATGCAAACTTGCATAAGGAAAATCAGAACTGAAAAGAAAATAAGAAACCCCAAACTGTTTCCATGACAAGATGTATAAACCTAACTGTGAAGCAAGTGGCAGTCTTACAATATGAAATCCAGACAATGTGTATCATAATTCATGATGATGTTTACCAGGGAGTTTACAACAACACTTCATTATTTTATAACACTTTCTTATTCAGTAACATATGTAGAATACAGTGTGACAACCCAGAGAATATAATGCAACTTCTCTCTCTCTCAAGAATTCAGTCCAAGAGGCTGTAACAGATAGTCATCAAAGTGTACATATTTATAAAAAGCAGAATTATGCACAGATACTTCTCAGGTATCAGGTTTTCAAAAATATCCTTTGTGCAAACAAAAGGTCATATGCAGGGCTAGTGAACCTGATCATAATGACAGATGATGAAAACCTTATTCCCTGCTAACTATGCAAACCTACAATGCTATTGTTATCTAGCTCTAAATGCTAAAGGTGCATTTGATAAAATCCACCACCACTAGAGAAAGGAAAGGCAAGGAGCAGATCCTACGGACATTCCTGAGTTGTGTCGCCTGCAAAGATGAAGACGACTGACACGGTTCTGACTTGAAATAAATGCCGTCAGTTCAGGACTCCCTCACATGAGAATTTCCCAGAGCAGCAACCTTTGCACCACAGGCCGGGCTTCTGAAGCACCTAGCTTCCCCTGGGGGTGCCTTCCCTGGCGCCCGGTGGGGTGCTCTGGGGTAAGGCAGGCTCGTCTTTGCAGCCATGGGAGGCTACATGCATTGGGCTAGTAAACTGGCTGCGGCAGTGTTGAAATTTATTCCACGTCTTCAGAGCCAAATGCAAACGTTCTTAAATTATTTGCTGTTTTGCATTATTCAGAACTTGGATCTTTTCCTCCAGGAGCTGGGCAACGTCTAAAGGAAGAGAGTACTTTGTACAAAGTTAGGAGAACGGATGCTCTGGTCTGTCTATAAAGCCTGTGAAACGAGGGGGCTGATCACACGGTGATCTCTGATGTTCTTCCCAGCTCGATGGCTACACCAAAAGCCTATGATTATCTTTGCCTTTCAGCTTCACCTGCTTGTTCTAGCTCTTGAAATGGACTTGGCTTCCTCCCCGTGCAGGGCATTTGCCTGGAGCTGCTCAACTCCTACACTTGCTTCAGTTCTCAGCCCGAGGAGCATGGCTTCCTCCAGGAGGCCCTGCTGCCGACCTGCCCCTCCCTCGGAGTCCTGTTCCTTTATTAAATGCTGTCAGGGCATTTTACCCCCTTTTCTCAGAGCACCGATCTCTGAGCACCTCTGCCCTTGTTTGGTGCTTGGTTTCTGTTCATCGTGCATGTTGAATGTATTCCAGAGTGCCTGACCCTCCGTTGGTAATCATTTAATATTTATGGAATTATTATAATAGCATCTCCAGAAAATTTACAAATTGGAATTAACAATGTGTCAACCTATAATAATAAAAGCATAACATGCTAATTAGACTGGACAGCTGAATGACCTTCCGCCTTGCCAGATCCCAGGCATGTGCTGCGCCCTTTCTGTGCCGTGGCATCCTCTCAACAACCAGCTTAGGACATCATTGTCCTGTTTACAGAGAGGAGACTGTGGCACAGAGGCTGTAACTACCGCCAGGCCCTTGTTAGCGAGCGGAGGGGTCATGATCTGAATCCGGATGGTTCTCATTTCATAGGCCACTCTCCAAGTCCAAGTGCCATTTCCCATTCTCTGTGTTCCCTGTGTCTGTGTGCCCTACTGAGGGAATGGGGAAGGGCAGAGAGGTAGAGGTCACGTGACCCTACAAGCAGGACCAGGCAGAAACCAGGACCATGCCCTGGAGGAGGACCTGCGGCCGCGCTCACCTGTTCCCGTGGACGTGGGATGCACAGAAGGCAAAGCTGTAGTGGAGGAGGGTGGGGTCGATCATGGCGCCGTTCTCCGCCCGCTCCAGCAGGTCTCTGAGGTAGCAGAGATGCCGGTGACACCCGCGGACTCCGTTCCGGGCACAGTACTCATCTAGCACAAACACCTGGCCAGGACTGAACCAGCCCTGTTTGGGGAATAAAGGAGAGACTTCCTTTTAAATACAGGCTGTTGCTGTTCTTCGGGAGGGCTGCAAGAGTTGGGGGAGAGTGTGGAGGGTTAAAAATAGCCTGAGCTGATTGCTTAGTAAGTACCCGCTGCTGCGCTAACCCCTGCGGTGCTGTCAGTGTAACCTCATCCCAGCCCTGCGAGCAGGTGCCGGTGGCCCTGGCGATGGGTGGGAACTCATGGCATTTCCTAGAGTCTCAGGGCTAGTGAGTGGAGGTGTCTGATCAGCAGAAAGCATGATTCAGAGAGGGCCTCCCACTTTTCCAACACTGAGCTGTACACCATAGAAGAGTGTTGGAGTGGGCGAGGGGCAGTCTTCATTACTGACAAGACAAGTAAAAACACCAGTGCCTTAGAGTGGGATAGTGCTCCATCCTTGACAAGGAACTTTCAGCAGAGCCCAGGGCAGCCTCGCGGAGGAGACAAGGAAGATTCCTCTTCATTTAACTGACGAGGAAATGGATCAGGGCTAGTAAGTGACTGACAGAAACCACAAACAGAGGCAGGACTCAAGTTCAGCTCTGACTCCGCATCTTCTGGCTTCTGTACTCTGGAGCACTGGGAAATACTGTGACTGGTCTGCATGCATACCAGGACTTCATAAATCCTCCGCTTGGGAAGCAAACGCTTGGGGGGAATACAGTCAATAATATTGTGATAACGATGTACCAGGTGGGTACTTAAAGTGTCAGGGATGGGGGACCACTCTGTAAAGTACATCCTTGTCTAGCTACTCTACTGCACCTCTGAAACTAATATAAAATATATTGAATGTCAACTGTCATTAAATGTTTTAATTATGAGGATACTTTTCCAAAGAGAACAACATACTAAGTTTTGAAGTAGTGAGTCAGATACAGTTCAGCTAAACGGAGAGGAGCTTCTGCCTTAGCACCCCTCCCCCCGCCTATTATTTATTTGCTCGCTGAAGGACCAGGTGAAACTCTGCCATGAAAGAGAATCCCCGACTTGAGCAGATTGGGGGGCACTAGGCACACAAGGAAACATGCTCAGAGAGGCCAAGGGACATTCAAGGTCACCCTTGGGCCACGCCTGAAGCAAAGGACTGAGTTCTGTGGGTCTCAGTGCTTTTCTGAAGCAAGAAATGAACCACTCGAGGTGGCAGTGTGTGGGCCGGGAACTTAGGATTGTTTTAAATATAAAGTTAATTTTACTCAGAGCGTCTTCTCCGAGTCACCTTTTGAATACTGCTTTGTCTTGAGAGAGAAAAGGCAAAAGGAGAGCATGACAGGGTGCAGGTAGAGGCCACAGAAGTGCAGGGAGGGAGGCCTCTGCCACCCTCCGATCTCATATTAGTGATCTGCAGGCTCTTCCACTGACAACCTGCAGCTCAGCAATGCATCCAACGAGACGGCATCTTTCCTATTTCAAATGATAAGTTACTGCAGAGGGCGGGAGAGTCGTCGAGGCAGTGGGCTGCCCCTATAGGCAACTTCTTTGCCACTCCATCTGCTACCCCAAATGCTAAATCTTAGAACCAACACTGCTGTGAAAGATTAAAATATATTTTCTACGACTCGGATGACACCACGTCTTTTGTAGATGCCAAAATAGCTGCTTTGAAAAGAGTTGAAGAAATATCAATTAGGAACTCAGTCGAAGACACAGAAAAATTTATGTATCCCTGCTGGTCGGTCTCCAAAACTAACTGAAATAAAAAGATTGTAATAATGAGAAAATGGAATAGAGAGGCAGGAGATAGGGCTTTTTAATTGCTGTTATTTTCTGAAACTTTGGGATGATGATTAATAGATATAGGTATGCAAATGGGGAAGAAAACAATTTTATGCTATTATAATTAATTCTGGATTTGGGAGCATATTTGCACGTTTATATATGACTAATAGAACACAGTTTCAAAATCAAAATTTTATTTCTGGTTTATTTATTTTATTTTTTAGAAAATCAAGTCTCCTTGATGATAAATTTCTCAGTGAAAGATAAAATTGGTTTTAAAAAATGATGTAAAAAAAGGTCCTGAAAATAATGCACCTCAAAAATTTTTTTCAAGAGAAAAGAAATTATATGTGAAGATAATGAGTAAAATTCAGAGGCATATTCTTACAAGTTTCATGTATGCAATTTATAATTATGCTAAAAATCACATAATCGTTGGAAATACATTTGAGAAAAATTGCCCTGCAATGCAAGGTAAGCTTTTTTTTTTTCCTTTTTATTTTTTTTAAGTCAAAATGATATTTTTCTTTCCAATTTGGCAAAGTTCAGATTCTCCTGATAAAGTGATTCCAAACCTGAGATAATCAATGCATCTTTTATGAGATGCAGATTAATAAATTATTCCACATAATACTGCTTTGCTTTTTAACACTTTTTTAAAATCTACTCTTTTTAATATTTTGGCCTCAGGTACAGAAAAAAAAAGAAAGAATTTAAAATAAAAATTAGTTGGAATAGATTTAGGATACAGCTATGCCACTTAAAAAGGAAAATATTTTCATCATATGTATGCTAATATAATGACATGGTAAGTATATCATGTTAATTACTGAAGTGTATCACATTCATAATCTGCAGATATATTAACCCTAGGAGCAGGGAAGAGGCTTTTCCTCTGTGTAAAGTCATTTCATCATTTCCCTCACCTTTCCCATTTAAAAAGTGGGGTTCATAACATTTACCTTTTAACAATGAAGTAATGTATGGTTTGCAGAAGAAAAGAAATTGGGTCCTTTTTAGGCTTCCAACTTTGATAGTAGAAAGCCACAAATGTCTCTTCGGGAATCCAGTAACGACATAATAACAGTCTCTTGAATGTAACCGATTTAACTCTGGGCTTAAAACAGGATTGCAAGAGACGTGCTCCCTTGCTGGGAGCTGGACTTCCAAACGCCTAACGCGTCATAAAAACTTCCCCCAAAGGGGGAAATGCTCTAAATACCACTAAGAGAAAGAAGCCACCCACCCAAGCAAACCCAAACCAGTTGAGCTTATGCGAAATCAAGTGGTGTGTGTTTACAAAGCACTTTAATCTTTCAAAAATAAATGGAAAGGACACATCCCTTTCAGAGACAGGAGCACAGGGTCTACTCTGGGATGGGGAGGGAGGCGGATCTTCAAGTCTAGAAACGGAGTCGGGTTTTACAAGTTCTCCACCAGCAGATGCCAAACTCGATTACCCTCTTGGGAACGTTTCTCATGTAGCAGCTGAAAAGGGGGAAGCTCAGATAGGGAGGCTGGGGAGTTGGATCGTCTCTACTGACAAATTCCTGCCGACTTCTTTCTTTGGGAAGGAAAACTACCTCCACCCAGGAAATCAAGGACACACTGATAATCGTTAAAGGGACTCTGAACTGGAGAAAAGAGCTCCTAACAGCAAGGTAAAGAAATACTTCATTTAAAAAAAGTCATCGTGTTTAAATTGCTGTAGACCAAAGAATATACTTGCCAGGCAAGAATAGGAATCATTAAGTCTGTGGTCCAAAGTAAGGCGTTGCACCATCTCAAAGAGGGAAGCGTGGTCAAAGTTACAGGGGTTGGACGAGATAAATTCATCCATGCCATGCTTTTGAGCTCTATCTGCGTCTGTTCATTTACACATGTGGAGAGAGACACAATTTAGAGAAACACATCACATTTTCTTTGACATTTCAAACACACAGGAATTCACTAGGCATTACGAACGCTGTTTCCCATCGCCTCCCACCAACACCCCCCCCAGATATTCCTTTTACCTTCCCATTGTCAACTTGCATCACTTACTGGTGAGTTTATTGCATTTAGGCAAGAATATATTGGCATCAATATGTTTATCAAATGATCACAACTCCAGTGCCTTTATGCGGTTCTTTAAAGACTAAGCACACGACCGTTACTTCACCTGCTTTTCACCGAACACTGAAAGCAGATCGGATCTTTGCTTCTAAAAGCCTATTTAGCTCTGTAGGTTTTTAATAGATTCTGCCATTCCAGTGGTTATGTCTAGAGCAATTTCTCTACAATTATTGGGATTATCTGGAAAAGGGTTAAGCTGATTTTCAGCAAAGTGACAATATTTGTGTCCACCCCTTCCAGGGCCACACTGCCAATTTGGTTTCACAAAAGGTTTGGGTCCCCACCCTCCAAAATTAAAAAAAAATAATAATAATAACAAAAGATTTTCATTGAAACCTGGAGAATAAGTTAAAGGGGACTTAGTTTGGGGTAGCCGGGGACATTGCCTTTGCGTGTGTGTGCTCAGCTAGCAAAGCTTATGGGAGAGACAAACCAATGTACTCCACAAGGGCTATGATCTGCCATTTATTGTGATTTAGTAATCTCCATGTATTCACACTTTTCCTTACAGGGTGAAGGCTGTAGGCAAAACCTCCTAGGGGCTAACTAATTAATCTCAATATGTGTAACAAAAATACTCTACACTCAATCGGCAAAAGAACTCAGAGAATCCAAGCAGATCCTGACGAGGTAGGAATGAAGGTCCGAGACATTAAAGGAGTCAGCTCACTCCACCTCACATGTGTTCACTCTCCTGATATGCAGACTGTGGAGAAAAAGAATCTTGTTTCAAATCAAGCAAGAGTTGATTCATTCCCTGCCTGCGCTGTTCTACTGGAGTGCGGGGGCCTGCCAGGGACCACGAACGCTGTCAGGACACAGGGAAAATCGATGTTTGACTTGAGAGGGTGTTTGGGTAATATTTTCATATGTGGCCTTCATTCCAGGCAGCTTTGTCCCCCTTCCATGCTTGGGGAATGGCTGCAAACTTGGGTTATGGTAACAGTGTGACTTTAAGATGATGATTTAAGATGACGATTTATGTAAAGTGATGATTTCTCCTCACATTATAGATTTTGTGGATCTAAGCAATGTATGCATGGAATGTTATATTTATGCCTCCTTATTGTTAGAATTTTCAAATCCGCAGTCATTTTTCACAGAAGCAGCAAGTGGTCAGTGTTTGAGCAGCGTGTGCTGTTTATGCCCGAGACGCCCAGAAGCGACGTTTCCAGAAGGCACGTGAAGAAGGAGTATTTTAATAGCCAAATCGCTCTGTTCGGAGGCTGAAACACAGGCTTTTAGAGGGAATATCACATGTGCAGAAATTATATTAGAGGATCTGAAAGAATCCTCGTTGCTGTGTTCATTGTCAGATTGGTATTCAAGGAAGTGCTTTCAATGTGAGGTTAGGTGCTGTGTTTAGGATTCTTTTGTTTGCTTGTTTGGCCTCCAAGCTACTTTCTCCCTTGACTCGGGGTGGTTGGCAAGAGAGGTGGCCAAGAAGTTGGTGCTGGGGACAAAAGCTGGCTGCTTCCAGCGTGTGCGTGCATCTGTGTGTGTGTGGGGTTGCGGGTGGGGAGGTGCCTCCTCTGGCCCAAGACAAGTGTTAAAGCTGCTCCGACTTCAGGTCCCTCTCCCCACCCCCACCCCCCCAATGGCACTCCTGCCATCCAGGGGTATCTCTGCATCGCTCAGCCTCATCCTATCGGCCACTTTAATTCAGGAGAGACCAACGGGGGTGCATGGATTGCTCATCCGGTGGCACCCCCTGCCCTGCCTCCCCATTGGAACAGGCAGACGAGGCATTTCTTAGGTAGCACAGCTTCCTACTCTGGGATTTCTCAGAAGGGGGCTGCAAGCTGATACATCGGCCTGGCCCTTTCTCTGCCAGTTGGGCCAGCTACCTTATTGCTCTTCAATGATGATGGTGCCCCCGGTCATTTAGCTCCGAGAGAAGGGGGCTCTTTTGTAGCTGGTAAAAACATGACACGTGTCTCACATCGCTGACTTTCTTTTTGGGTTTAATCTCTTGAAAACTTCGCGAAGAACTATTTTGCCTGCTGCCCGCTCAGGAAACGGATCTGAAAAGGCCGCTTGGCTCCTTCGCAAAGACCTGGGTGCAGATCCCCGCGCCGCCTCCCCACCCACCACAACGCGCCTTCACCTGCCAACTCTAGGCCCAGAGCACATCTGACAAACAATCGTGGCTTTCTGTCTCAACACCGGCTCACCGGAAAACAGGCTTCAGCCGGTTTTCTCTTTAGAAAGTAACCCTGTCCACATACAGATTCCTCCCCCATCTTCCTTCCTTTTCTCTCTCTGGGCCCTCCTGTAGGATGAGCCTGGGATGGGTGTGGAGGTCTGGATTCCAGTTTAAGCTCTGTTACCAAATAGCCGCGGGCTGCTGGCTGAGCGATCTCTGATCCTTCGCTTCCTGTGCAAAACGATCTGAACTTTCAGTTCCCTTTCTGCTGTCACGGTCGTTTGGCCACCTTACGATCCCTTGCACACCTTCTATATGTGTGGGATGGAACCGAATGGGATGGCAATTTCTAGCAAGCAAAAGGAGCAGCCCCTGGGTTTTGCTTACACAAAATCGTCATTTACTCAGAATCAGGCTCCTTATCTTAATAACGGTTCCAACAACTCAAGAGCACTTAAAAGGGTGGCTGGCTCCCGTAGAATCTTTGAGAGTTTCATTGAGCTTGTTTTATTCAGAAAAGAGAAAGAGGAGTGGAGGCCCGCAATACTGTTTTAAGATGTCAGTGGAAGGGATCTGATTTTTACTTCCCTTTCGAGCAGGGATTTTTAATTTTTAATTTTTATTTTTGGGGTTGCTCTCACTATATTCCCAGAACCTAGACTAGTACCTGGCACATGCATATTAATATAATGAGTTTATTTCATTAAAATAAATAAGTGCACTCTTTCAACAAGTATTTTCTGTTTCTTGAATTCTTGGAATGTTGACACACTAAATTCAACGGGAACAAGTTTATTGAAGCTAAAATAGCAGGTGGCTAAGTGGGTGGGCTTAGGGGCTCCCAGACTGACTTTGAGGCCAGCTCTGCCTTTCTGAGCGTGACGCGAGGCAGGCAGTTTCGTAGTTCTGAGTGGCATTTTCCTCACCTGTGCGCTGAGCTTAGTGTTTGAGTCTCCCCGCAGGGGCTGTGGAGAGGCTGGATGAGAAGGGGCAGGGAAGCACCTGGGGGCTGGCACAGGGTCAGTGCTCAGTCCACTGCCCTGTGAGTGAATGCACAGGCGTCCTCGTGCTCCCAAAGCCATCTTTTTAATGTGCTTAGGGACTGAGGGTTGTCTCCAAACTTAAAGCTCCTGTTAGTCACAGGCTGCTTCTTAAACTGTTGTGTTGCTCTGAAGCTGGGAGTCCTTTCCAATCGCTCCGCGTTATGCTCCTCCTGGCCCCTGGATAGCCAACTCCTAGGTCAGCGGTTCTCAACCTGGGGGTCGAACAACTCTTTCACAGGGGTCGCCTAAGACCATCGGAAAACACATATATAATTACATACTGTTTTTGTGATTAATCACTATGCTTTAATTATGTTCAATTTGTATCAATGAAATTGGGGGTCACCACAACATGAGGAGCTGTATTAAAGGGTCGCGGCATTAGGAAGGTTGAGAACCACTGTCCTAGGTCCTGTCTTTGTGTTTTCGCTGGGGTATGTTCCAGTTTCTCTGTGGATTCCCTTGGTGGGTAATAAGTTCCTCGGGGGTAAGTTTCTGATCTGTAATTTCCCCTGCCAGCTCTCGGAGGAGCTGGGCCCTTCGGAGGTGTTCACTAATGGACTGATTCTGACACTTCCACCCCAGGAAACTTCCCACTGACTTGAATAAGGAGTCACACACATGGGGATTCAGATGGCATCTTGCAAATCCCAAAGTGGGAACATGTGCTCTTAGGGGAAAAAATCTCATAGAAGGAAACAGAATTGTAGGTGCAGGTGTCTTTGGCTACCGTTCAGACTGTCTGCCTGTGTCTCCATACATGTCTAGGACCATATGCATTACATATGTTGTCTATTTTAAAATAAAACACTGCAGTGGTCCAGCTGTTCCAAATTCTGTTTCAAAGAACTTGTGGGTGCTTCCCAAGCAACACCATATAGTCATTCTTGCACTGTCCCAGACTGTTCTCCTACGGTGCCAAACATTAAAAATTAAATGCTCCTTGCAACTCCGTTTCCCCCTCTACAAACAATTGGATTTGGTTGATTTTTAAAAAATGAAAACTCCAATGTTGACATTACAAGGGGGAAATAACCCAGAGCCAAAGTATAAGAAAGTTAATTCTTGAATTCGGGACATCTTGGGATCCCTTCCTTTGCCAATGTTTGGCAGGTGTCAACAAAATGAAAGTGAATTTTAACAGTAGGGTGAGCAAATTAGAGAACTAGGAGAGTCAAGTGGCTGCTTAAAACTCCAATGATGTTTGTATTGCCCCTTGCTTGAGGGAGATGCATACCAATGCTCTTCCTATTTTTACTATTCATCATCATCATCATTTAGAAATCAACGATTGACTACTGCATTTTACAGATTGACTTTAATCTTTGCCCTTTACCTTGACCAGCCCTGGTTGGGCAGCTCCTAAGTTGTGCTCTGTTGGCAAGGGCTCCAAATGTACTGCAATGGGCTATGCAATTGTATAGGACCTGCAGCTCGGGCATAATCCAACACACCTTTCAGACAATGCTACTTGCTTCTCTTCTGGGTGGGTAACTGCATCAGGAGTGTGAGGTCCTTTACGGCGTGGGCATCGGGGGCTGACTTCAGGCTACACTTAGGTG